CTCACATTTCCCCACATTATGTTCTATCTGCCAAGTTTTTGCCCACTCACATAACCTGTCTAGATCCCTCTGCAGACTCTTTGTGTCATCTTCACCACTTGCTTCTCACCTATTTTTATGTCATCCACAGACTTGAGAACAGTACATTCATTTAGGTCATCAAATCATTAATATAATTTGTAAATAATTGTGGCCCCAGCAACGATCCCTGTGGCATTCCACTAATTATAGGTTTTCATCCTGAAAATGTCCCCTTATCCCAACCCTTTGTCTTCTATTAGTTAGCCAATCCACTATCCATGCTAATATACTACTTACAATACCATGGACTCTTATCTTATTAAGTAGTCTAATGTGTGCCTTCTGAAAATCCAAACATATTACATCCACTGTGTCCCCTTTATCTATCCTGCTTATTACTTTCTCAATGAATTCTAATAAGTTTTTCAGGCATGATTTCCCCTTCATGAAGCTATGCTGATGCTGCTGGACCATATAATGTATTTCTAAATGCTCCGCTGTTAATCCTTTAAAATGGATTCTAGCATTTCTCAGTAACAGAAATTAAGCTAACAGGCCAATAGTTATCTGTTTTTGTCTCCTTCCCTTTTTAAATAAAGGTATGTCTACATTAGCAGTTTTTAAACCTCTGGAACATTTCCAAAATCTAAGGATTTTTGGAAGATTGCTATCAGTACACCCACTGTCTCCGTAGCTACTTCCCTTAACATCCTCGGATTCATCCCGTTAGGTCCAGGGGTCTCATTGTTCTTTAGCATGTTAGTTTCCCAAGCACCTTTTTCTCTAGTGATAGTTACTGTATTTATTTCCTCACCTCCTGTTGTCCCCTTGATTATTTTGGCAAACTATTACTGTCTTACACTGTGCAGACTGATGCAGTGTAATTTATTCAACCTTGTAACATTTTCTGGTTCCTCATTATTATTTTCTCAGTCTCAGTTTCTTAGGTGCCTGTGTTCAATTTGGCTTCTCTTTTCCTTTTTGTTTTTTTCAACAAAGCTCTTGCTGTCTGCCTTGTTATCATTTGCAAGTTTATTCTCAGTTTATCTTCCCCTCTTTGTAATTTCTTTGGTCATCTTTTGTCGGATTTTAAAACTTTCCTAATCCTCTAATTTCCCACTAAGCTTTGCCACGTTGTATCTTTATTCTTTCAAATTGATGTTATCCTTAACTTCCCTGGTTAACCATGCTTTTCTTATCCCTTTCCTAAAATCCCTCTTCCTCACCGAGAGATATCTTTGCTTTGAGCTGTGAACAATCAAATGTCTGCCATTGTTCATCATTAGGCTTTTCTGTTAAACCCTTTCCCCAGCTCACACCATCTAGCTCTGCCCTTATTTCCTTGTAACTTCCCTTGTTTAAGCTTAGCGTAGTTGTTTCTGACCCAAGTTTCTCCCTCTCAAAATAAATGCTAAATATTATGGTCACAGTTTTCTATGGAGTTTTTTACCTTGATAGATTGTTTTAGGAAATCCTCCTTTCTAGTCCTACCGATGTTGACTATTGGATCCCTCTGTCTCCAAGTTCCTCTCCAACCCCAAGGAGATGTTCTTAACCCTGGCACTGGGCAGGCATAACAGCTATAACTCCCACCCATGCCTGCAGAGAACAGTATCTATTCTCCTTATTATACTGTCCTCTAACACTACTACATCCTATTTCCTCCCCTCACTTGAATGCATCAAGGTGCTCTTGTTATTTTGCTCATTGTCCCTGTCCTCAATTTCAACCCCTTGGTCCTCATACCTGCCTCACCTGCATTCGTGCTCTCTTGTCTGTGATCACAGACTAATTTTGAATGACCTAATCTGGAACAAAGTGTCTAGGTGACATTTCCCTTCCCTGATGTGGTGCAATGTCAGCAGCTCAGACTCCAGCTCCTCAACTTAGATCCAAACTTCCTTGAGCTGCAAACACCACAGAGATGTTCCCTTTGGATCACACTGGTGTCCGGCAGCTTCCATATGTTGCAATTACAACACATCACCCGTTCTGCCATCATTGTCAAATTTGATTTAAGTTGCAAATTAATTACTTGAGATTCTTTCACACTCTTGTGATATTTCATATTTATAAAAAGAAAAAAAAAAGCACTGTCAATCTCACACTTAAGCAGCTACTTTTAAGAAAAGATAGAAGAAAATCACTGGAGACTTTTTTTAAAATCATGAATGGGATGAGGACTTTGCTGGCTAGGCAGAATTTATTGCCCATCCGTAATTGCCCAGAGGGCAGTTCAGAGTCAACCACATTGCTGTGGATCTGGAGTCACGTGTAGGCCAGACCAGAGAAGGATGGCAGTTTCCTTCCCTAAAGGACATTAGTGAAACAGATGGGTTTTTCCAACAATCAACATGGTCATCACTGGACTCTTAATTCCAGATATGTATTGAATTCAAATCCCACCTTCTGCTGTGGCAGGATTCAAACCCAGGTCCCAGAACATTATCTGGGTCTCTGGATTAACAGTCCAGCAATAATACCACTAGGCCATTGCCTCCCCTGGGACTTAAACACAAACTGAAGACCTTACTTTTACATTGAAGACTATAAATCTTCATCAGTTCTACTCACTAAACAGCCTCTTTCCCTGCATTTGCATCACACTGTGGTCTATAATGTCACTCCGCCTCAGGTCTCACTGCAGGTCAGTCCCTCAATCCATACCTTTTATCCTTTCCCACTCACCTCTCGCTCTGGAGAGTTTACTTCTTGCAGTAAACCTGAGTTAAAGCACTTCTGCCCCCCTTAGCACTGAATTTCCAATAGTATACTCACTCAGCTTTCATCTTACTCTAGGCAGTAACTAGTGGCATACCACAGGGATCAGTGCTTCAACCCCAGTTATTCACAATATATGCTCATGATTTAGATGAGGAAATAAATCTGGGTGGGATGGTGATGCATGAGGAGAATGCAGAGATGTTTCGGTCAGGTTTGGACAGGTTGAATGAGTAGCAGGTGCATGTCTGATGCAGTGTAATGTGGGTAAATGTGAGATTATCCACTTTGGTAACAAAAACGGGAAGGCAGATTATTTTCTGAATGGCGATAGATCGGGAAATGGGAATGTGCAACCAGACCTTGGTGTCCTTGGACACCAGTTGTTGCCTGATTGCATGAAGATTTTCCAAATGCCTGCTTTAAACTCCTTAGTAATAGATTCCAGCATTTTGCCCTCCTAATCAATCTTTTCTCATGGCTAGAATTTTCCATTCCTACCAACATCCTCTTGAATCTCCTATATACCCACTCTAATGCATTCACATAATTCCTGTTTTTAGTGACAGAACTGTACTGTACTCCAGCAGTACCCTGACTAGTTTTTATATTGTTCCAGCATAACTTTCCTGCTCTTCTACTCTATGCCTCAGTAAAGGCAAGTATCCTGTACGCATTGTTAGCCACATATCTCACTATAAAGATCTGTGAAATGCACTCTGAAGTCCTTCTGCTTCCTGTGCACTTCTCAGCATCTTGTCATTTGTTGTCTATGTCTTTGTGTTGTTAATCCTCCACAAGTACATTATCTCCCTTCTCAAAATTGAATTTCAGTTGCCACAATTTACTTAATTTGCCAGACCTGGTTCTCCTTGTATGCCAATCAGTGAGCCAGGAGGCCTGGGTGCAAGTCCCAGCTGCTCCAGAGGTGAGTAATAACATTTCTGAACAGGTTGATTAGGAAGGCATAAAGTAAAGCTACACTGTCGATAAAAGTAAATATGCAGGTGCAGCAGGCAGTGAAGAAAGCAAATAGTATTTTGGCCTTCATAGCGAGACAATTCGAGTACAGGAGGAGGAATGTCTTGCTGCAATTGTAAGGATCTTGGTGAGACCACACCTGAAGTATTGTGTGCAGATTTGCTCTCCTTACCTGAGGGAGGATGTTGTGGCTATGGAGGGAGTGCAACCAAGGTTTACCAGTCTGATTCCTGGGATGATAGGGCTGACATATGAGCGGAGACTGGTTCAATTAGGACTGTATTCTTTAGTATTCAGAAGAATGAGGGGGATCTCATAGAAACCTATAAAATTCCAACAGGACTAGAGAAGATAAACACAGGAAGGATGTTCTCAATGACAGGGAGTCCAGAATCAGAGGTCACAGTCTAAGGATACAGGGTAAACCTTTTAGGACTGAGATTAGGAGAAATGTTTTCACCCAGAGAGGATAAGCTTGTGGAATTCTCTGCCACAGAAAGCAGTTGAGTTCTAAGACATTGAATGTTTTCAAAAGGGTATAGCCCTTAGGGCTAACAGCATCAAAGGTTATGTGGAGAAAGCAGGAACAGAGTACAGAGTGGGATGATCAACCAAGATCAGATTGAACGGCAGAGCAGGCTTGAAGGGCCAAATGGCTACTCCTCCTATTTTCTATGTTTCTATGCTACTACCTTCCTTCAACAAATGAATGCCAACTGTACATACTTGACCTGTGCCTTTCTAACTCATCATTTATGTTGTTCCCTCAGAATATTTCCACAGTGGAGGTTAGAACGACTGGCCTGTCACAATTCAACCTATCTCCCTTTTTAAACAAGGTTACAATGTTAAGAGTGCTGTGCTATTACACTGTAGCTGGAAAAAGTTGTAAAATAGTAGAGCCTACACAATCAATTCTCTTGATTGTCTCAAAATTCAGAGAAATATTTCATCTAGACCTGTTGATTTATGTACCTTCATTCATGATCACTGCCTTTATACTTTCTCCGTCATTATATTTATCCCGACCAATATTTCACACTTCTGTTTAATGATATCCCTTATAGATTTTGTTGTGATCTGTGTTCAGTTTACGATCTGACTCCAGAGCACTCATTGAGTTGGCTTCTCAAATTGTTTCCCATCAAGATCAATTTTGCTGTAATAGGATTGTTGAAGACAGTACCACCTTGGATGGAGCTCTTGTATGCAAATTTTATGCTTTTATTTTCACTTGCTTTTTAATTTTCTTCGTTGGAATTTGTTTGTAAAAATAGGATCTCTTGGAAGAAATGAGGAAAGAGCTTCAGAAACTAAAAGAAGAGCTTATCAATGGTGAGTACAGACACGATGTAATTTATAAACTAACTCAACCAACATTTACTGACTGCCCGCACCTCATGCAGTTATCAAACACTAAGAACACCCTTCACAAGCTGATATCAGAACACTTCCCTGTCGTGTTGCTAATAAACACTCAAACCATTCCCCTCTCATGACGTTATCAGTCTCTCAGATCCAATGTTATCAAGCAAGGTTTTGATCTCTCTTGGTGTCTTGTGTGTATGACAACCACACCGATCATTGGCATAGTAACATGGTAATCTACAAATTACTAGATAAATTGAACTCAATTTTATACTTTACATTTTAATGGTACAACTCTCTGCTTGTGGTTTGTAACGTTAGTACTATAAGCACTACATTATTTGCATGAGAGAGACATTTGTTAGTTTGCATATTTTCAGTTTTACAAGCTTTAAATGGTAAGATCTAAGGGGGCTTGCCTTTTGAATTGATAGAAAGTGTCTAAACACCAACTGTTTCAGCTCAGTGAGTGCTTTCTTTGCTAAACTGCCTATGAAACTAGAACAACTACATACATTTATATAGCACCTTTAATATTTAGCATAGTACAATGTCAAAGATGCAGCAGGTAAATAACTTCAAGAAGGATAATCTTACTCAGGTGAAATTCAAACAATATATAAATGCATGTGTAAGTCCAGTTTTGGGCTGAAATGGATAAGGTCATACTAAAGCATTTCTCCTTTTTCCACAGCAATCAGACAGGAACTGAGTAAATCCAACAATGCGTAGACAACGTATCAAATGGAATTGACCCTTTAATTAAGAAGTGATGACAAATGACAGTGAGAGGGTGATGAGAAAATGACAAGACATCCAGCAAAAAATGGGAGGGAAGAGCTCTCCCATATTCTGCAGTTGGAGATTTTGCGGGCAGCCTCATCACACCGTTGTGCTTTTCTTTATTTTTCCCCCTCACTGCTTGCCGCTTTTTCTGACTTTTTTCTCAGAGGAAGAGAGTCTTCTTACTGTAAAATTATGCAAAGTTTCTTAAGTCTGTTGAAATCTAATCACAGTGTGCTGAGAAGTCACATAAATTGAAAGAAAAAAATTTGCACAACAATTGTGTTTCTTTTCATTTTTTTCCTCTAGGAGGTGGCTTATAATTTGAGCACAAATCTTGGAGACAGCTAACTATAGAGCAGTTAGTGCTACACCTTTCCCAGGAATATGGTCTTACCTGAATTGGAATGGCAAAGTTTATACATATAGGAAGATGCATTGAGTATAAAAGCCTGGCAGAATGTTTTGTGCCTGTAGTGAGGGTGTCCTGGGATTATGTTTTTTTTTAATATTCAAAGCATTGGCAGTTCACAGGGTTTAAGGATACAGAGATGCCTTCCTTAGTTTATTATCGTGATAATGCTTTACCAAATCAAAGACTTGTCTGTTAATCCAATCAATAATGTAAGTTAATCAGTGCAGTGTCTGTAATCATTTTTTCCCTGATTGCGCATGTTGAGATGTAATTCTTTTTATAGATCAAAATTGTCTGTAAATTGGTATTTTATCCCATTCTATCTGAGCAATAGTCAGTCATGTTAATTTTCCATCCAGTTGCCTTTTCTCATGTAGGGCGTGGGGAGAGAGTGAAGCTGAGCAATCTGACACAACGTTCTCGTGTGGCTCACATCTGTATATTCTGATAGACCTTGTGCATTTCTGCACACATTTAGTTTTTCTGATCAGTTTTCATAAAGTATTTGTGGCTAATAGAAGAGAAACACTTTCCAATGTCTTTTGTTCATTTATTTTTGCTTGACACGCAGATGTGATCCAAAAGTACACATGAAAGGACATTGAACTATTATGGGTATGATTATAGAGATCCCTTAATTCCTAATCATTGGGTAGAGTCCTGAGCATTGGCCTCCTTTGTAGCTGCAAGTTTAAACAATGTCCTCCTCACAAAGTCACTTGCTGCTAAGATGGAACACTTCGTTTCCACTCGGTATTTTATCCAGCAGTTTAGAGACCCTGTGAAGCAGGTGGGTTTCATAGCAGGCACATGGGATGTTTTCCACCAAAATCCCCATCCACCATATCTGCAGGTAGCTTTGGGACATGTTTGCTATCTTTTCTGGGATACTGAAGGAGTCCTGTTCCATTTGTGTATGTAGACTTAACTGAAGCTATGCATAAAGTTTTTTTGGAAAGATTTGTAGCTCTGGTCGTGGATGAGGTTGCAGACTTGCTCGCCAAGCTGATGTGTTTAATTGCAGATGTTTCATCATCCTGCTACATTTCACCGGAGGTGCACTGATGATGCTACCTAGCAGGGTGTTGAGAAGTCTGCAGTCCATCACACCAGCTCAGTGAGCAAGTCTGCAACCCAAAGCTATGCATATTAAGCATGAACATTGGTTTCTCACTTAGTCTCGTAATGTATGAAAAACAAATTGATCCCAGAATTGAATTTTTTTTTTAATGTAGCCTGGCTTTTTTAAAATTCAATTTTTAGCCTGATGTGGCCCTCCAGCTTTCACAGTTGGAGTGATAGGGCATTGCTGTGATATTATAATCGTTCTTTGAAGAGGGAGCCACTCCAGAAACAGGCCACCAACTCTTAACTATTTAAGTTGGATTAGTCCCTGCTGTTTGGGATAGCACCCACATACATAATGGCTGTGAAGCAGGATTCTTGAATTTCAAATCCGTTACATTTAGTAACTTCTTGAAACTGATTTTTTATTTGCTGCAGACAGTTACTAATGGCTTGCCTTGCTTCCAGCATTACTCATCTCTAGTAATCACCCATCACTTATGAGCCACATGACTGTGTTTCGAGAACCAGATTTTTTTTTGTTTAAAGGTGGCATTACTGCTTTATATGCAGCACTGCTTCAGGGACTGTCATTGCTATCAGAATAAAATTCATTTTCCTTGCCCAATGTGGGAATTATGAACAGGGTGCTTAATCACTTTTTTTAAAAAGTCCTTCAGTAAGATTGGTGTTTTTGTTTTGGCATATCCTAAATTGAAATCCCGTGTTAACTACAGTGTTAACCCAAAAGCTTTCAGTTAAAAATGTCTATGTGCGTTAGCAACTATCGTTCAAAAAAAAAGTCAAATAATTTCAATAACAAAATTGTATAAACAGCTTTCGAAATTTTATAAAATCTTCAGTTCGTATCTTGTGGTCCTTGATCATTGAAGTATAGATAATAGTTGCCAGTATAGCTCAGAATCCTAGTCAGCTGTTGAATGGTGGATGAGTGTAGTTGTATCTTTGTTGTCTAGATTATGCTGAACTCATGGGATCTAATGAAAGTTCTAGAAAAGTAAACTTGTGTAAAAGATAATGAAATGGCTGATGTGATTGTCAAGATGATCATTAACCACTTAATTTCAAAGCATTTTTCACTATGGTATTCAGATGTATAAAAGCATACTCTTAAACAAAATAATCACAAACACTGTTGTTTTTTACATTAAGAAACATTTAATTTTTTTGTATAAAAGGTGAGACTTTTCCTTTTTGAAATGTTCATTAATTCTTTTCCTTGGTTCATCTCCAAGTATTCAGATCAATAGATTCAGAAGAATATCAAGGGGAAAGGCATTGGTGATGTTGTGGGATGGTCATGTTCCTTAAATAACTTATTCTTTTCCTAAATTTCAATAGAGGTGATTGGCCTCTGCATATTTGTCTGTCCACAAAGTGGACTTGTGATAATTGTGCAGAAGAGGATCTTGGCCACAGTCCTAAATTCTAACACCAGGGTAACTTGTATATTGGAGTTTCCAAGTGTTACATCAGCCAGTGCTTTGAGCTTAAACCAACTCCTTCACAGATGATGGGCAAAGTTTATTCTGCCAGTTAAAAATAACTTGGGAAAACTATTTGTTAATTCCACACTCCTAAACAATCTAGTCTTCCTTACTTGTGGAAAGAATGTTGTAGTTTGCAGTTCTCATCCAGTACTCACGTGGAGCAAGAGTCAAAATACTGGTACATAGAATCCCTACAGTTGGAAGCAGGCGATTCAGCCCATTAAGGTTCACATGACCACTTTTAATCACAGCTATCTCAGATGTACTTTTAAGTCAATAGTTAAGCTAAAAAACTTGCCTTTCCTATGAGTCAACAGAAATTAGGTATTCTTGTTTTGTTTAATTAGCAGTGCAGCTATTCAGTGGACCATTGTACCTTAACCAATAGACCTGTCTGTATAGAAATGCTTTTCAAAAAATAGTTCCACCTCATATTAAACGTGGAATTTTTTAAAAAAGCATTATTCTGGTTTAGCTGAAATAATTTGTCAGAAATCACACAACACCAGGTTATAATCCAACAGGTTTACTTGAAAACACAAGCTTTTGGAGTCTTACATAGATAACACAGTATGGAGCTGGAGGAAACAGCAAGCCAGACACCGTCAGAGGAGCAGGAAAGTTGACATTTCGGGTCGGGACCGTTTCTGAAAAAGGGTCCCGACCCAAAACATCAACTTTCCTGCTCCTCTGATACTGCCTGGCCTGCTGTGTTCCTCCAGCTCCACAATATGTTATGTCTGACTCCAGCATCTGCAGTTCTTCCTATCTCTTTCGGAGTCTTACTCCTTCTGGTGTTAGAGAGAGAGGTAGTATCAGACACAGAATTTATAAGTAAAAGATCAAAGGGTCACACCACTGATGAGGATGTACTAAACAAACCTAAGATGCTGTTAAATCTTTAATTAGTTAGAAGGCTTTAATTGATTAATATGTATATGTAAATCCCCGAATTCCCTTCAAGTCACTGTCCTGAAAGAACTAAATGTTTTATCAGTGTAAAGAAGAGGTGACATTTTAGGTCAGACAATGCATGTTAGGTGAAAGGCCTTGTTTAGAATCTGTTTGTGTTTTGGTTTGGAGTCAGACTGGTTTTATTTCTAAAGTAGGAATTTATAAAATGCCACATGAACTGACTGTCGATAAATTCACCCTCATAGATTCACAAGTCTGTGCGTGTGTGTATGTGCTTCATCCTTGACCACAATGTCTTCACCTTCCACAACCAGTTCTTCATCCAGACACATGGAACAGATTTGCTCCCCAATATGCCAACGTTTTCATGCACAGGTTCGAACAAGACTTCTTTGTTGCACAGACCTCTGACCAATGCTATACACCAGATACATTAACGACATTTTCTTCCTTTGGACTCATGGCGAGGAATCCCTGAAACAACTATGTAGCGATATCCACAAGTTTCATCCCCCCATCAGAATTACCATCATGGACTACTCTTTAGAATGAATCTCATTCTTAGACACACGTATCTCCATCTAGGACAGACACCTAAGTACCTCACCCTCCCGCAAGCCCACAGATAACTTCACAATGCTGAATTTCTCTAGCTTCCACCCTAAACATTTTAAAACAGCCATTCCCAAGGACAAGCCCTACGCTTACAAAAGATCTGTTTGGATGAGGAGGAACAAGATGGAAACCTGCAGGTGTTCAAGGACACCATCATAGGAACAGAATACGATGCTCAACTCAGCATTTGCCAGTTCTGACATGCCACAGCAAAAAACTATAATGACCTCCTCAGAAGACAGACACGGGATGCATCCAATAGGGTACTCTTTGTCGTTGAGTACTTCCTGGGAGTGGAGAAACAAACTACACCATGTTCTTCACAGCCTTCAACACATTATCGATGATGGTGAGCACCTTGCCAAGATCTTCCCCATGCCTCCACTTCTCGCCTTCAAACAACCATCAAACCTTAAACAGACCATTGTTCACAGCAAACTACCCAGCCTCCAGGTCAACATTGACCACAACACTATACAACCCCGTCATGGTAACCTCTGCAAGACATGTCAGACATTCGCCATGGACACAACCATCACATGTGGGAATATCACCCACCATGTGCACAGCAGATACTCATGTGACTTGGCCCACGTTGTCTATCTCATATGCTGCAGGCAAGGATGCCCCAAGGCATGTTATAATGATGACACTATGCAGACGCTACAACAACGGATGAATGGACATCGCGCAACAATCGCCAGACAGGGATGTACCCTCCCAGTTGGGGAACACTTCAGCGGTCAAAGACATTCGACCTCGGATCTTCAGGTAAATGTCCTCTAAGGCGGACTTTGGGATACGCAACAATGCAGAGTCGCCGAGCAGAGGCTGATAGCCAAGTTTGGTACCCATGAGAATGGCCTCAACTGGGATCTTAGGTTCATGTTGTACGACAGGTGACCCCACCACACTTTCCACTCTCACACACACAGACTCACTCTCTCTCTCCAACACGCTCACACAGATCCTCTCTCATACAGATCGTCTCATACATATACTCTCTCAGCGCACGTGCACACACATACACACGTTCTCTGTCTCTCTCTCTCCCCCACACATATAAACTTTCTCTCTCTCTGTTCCCTCCCCCCCTCAACACACACACAAATCCATGGGGTGAATTTGTATTTGCAGGTGCATTTATTTTGTTCAAAAAGCACACAATTTATAGACAGTCTGTCAATGTGGATTCCTACTTTAGAAATAAAACCAGTCTGACTCCAAAGCAAAACACAAACAGATTCTAAACAAGGCCTTACACCTAACATGCATTGTCTGACCTAAAATGTCACCTCTTCTTTACACTGATAAATGTTTAGTTCTTTCAGGACAGTGACTTGAAGGGAATTCGGGGATTTACATATACATATTAATCAATTAAAGCCTTTTAACTGAATAAAGATTTAACAGCATCTTAGGTTTGCTTAATACATCGTCATCAGTGGTGTGACCCTTTGATCTTTTACTTATAAATTCTGTTTCTGATACTACCTCTCTCACTAACACCTGAGGAAGAAGTAAGATTCCGAAAGCTTGTGTTTTCAAATAAACCTGTTGCACTATAACCCAGTGTTGTGTGATTTCTGACCTTGTCCACCCCAGTCAAACACCGGCACCTCCACATCATGAAATAATTTGTGATGCAGTTCATTATTCTTTTGCATCTGTCTCCTCTCATATCTTGGTCTCAACATTATTTGGTTATGTTAGCTGGGCATCTGTCAACCAAATCCTGATAAACACACAATTATTTGGAGAAATATTCTGCTTGGTCAGGTTTGTGTTGACTTTATAGGATACGAGAATGGTATACTAAGGTATTGAGTGTTACCCAGGCCTTATTTTATTACTGGATACAAATGTTTCAAATTAACATGCTACAGAGTCAAGCTATTAATTTTAACAGTTTATACTTAATTTTCTTGAATCTCCTGTTCTATATTGGTGGATGGTAATTAACAGTTGAGAAATGGCTGGAGCCAGAGTGTATTTTCCAGTAATGACCAACAGAACATTGACTACTGATAAAAGTACTTTTTTTTTCCATCTTTTATGCCTCAAGGATTTTTTTTCCTTTGATTTGGGATTTTTTAATGCTCTTTACTTTGAGAATTTGTGAATGCTTCAGAAAAAGTGTTCAAATTTCAATTTTGTTTTTAAACATCTCATGGTGAATGAGGACACATTTGTACAACCAGTGTTTGAGTGGTCTTATCAAAAACTGAAGATTTTTAATTCTGATATAGTAATGAAAGAGAGGCTGGATAAGCTCAAGTTGTTTTCTTTAGGGCACAGAAGGCCGAGAGAGGACATGATTGAAGTGTATAAGATTGAGGAGTATGGACAGGGTAAATAGAAAACAGTTGCTTCCCTAGTTGAAGGGTCAATAATAAGGGGCATAATTTTAAGTTGAAGGGAAGGATGTTTAGAGAGGATTTGAGGAAAAACGGTTTTCACCCAGAAGGTGGAGGGAATCTGGTTTGCATTGCCTGGTAGTGGCAGGAACCCTCACAACCTTTAAAAAGTATGTGAATGAGCATTTGAAATGTCATAACCTCTAAGGCTGTGGGCCAGGTGCTGGACAGTGGGATCAGTGTAGATAGGTCAGTGCAGGCTCAATGGGCCAAAGGGTCTCTTCTGTACTGTATTACTCTGACTTATTTCTAAGACTATTTTTCCCCTTTAGTGCAAATGAAGTATTGCTGAAAAAAAGAAAAATATAAAATGTAATCTTTTTGTTGTAGGCAGGGGGATAGTGGCAGGATCATGGACCTCAGTAGCCTGGAAATTATAGGCTGTTTTGTCAAATAAGTCTTGATGTTCAAATTGCACTTGAGCAGTGTTCTAAATCTTGTGTTCACTCTGGTAGTATGTTCTAAAGTCTGACAACAAGAAGTTTGTCCTGCACTGTTCTAAATCTCAAAGAAGTTTGTGACTCTCTGGGATTGTGGGCTGCTGCTCTCCTTTTTGCATTTTTCTTTTACAATATTAGTTGTATCTGACATTAAAACAACTGGAGGCAGAGATTACTCAAAAAGCTTAGTGAGATTGAAACCCTTCTGTAATTGGCATAGTTAGTGGGGAGGCAGTGGCCTCGAGGTATTTCAATTCTGCCATGGCAGGTGGTTGAATTTAAATGAAAAAATATGGGATTAAAAGTTTAATGATGACCACGTGTCAATTGTCAGAAAAACTCCATCTGGTTCACCCATGCCCTTTAGGAAAAGAAACAGCCATCTTTGCCTGTTCGGGCCTACATGTGACGCCAAACCCACAGCAATGTGGTTGACTCTTAACTGCTGCCTGGGCAATTAGAGATGAGCAATAAATGCTGGCCCACCCAGTGATGCCGTCATCCCGTGAATGAATAAAAACAATGCAGCAGTTTTATGTCTGCTGTGTTCCGCCACACTATTAGTACAAAGTTATCTCTTGCAAGTGAATTTGGGACAATTTGAATTGGAATATTTCCAGCTTATGTCCAATGTTCGCCAAGCTATCTCCCTCTATACTATTTCAGTGGGAATATAATACTAGCAGTCAGCAGTTAATTTCATTTTGCCTTTGCCATTATTTGATGACAAGTGCACTTCAGATCTGCCAAAAATCATGATAACATTTCTGTAGTGAAACTACAGTTTAAAACCTGTACACAAAAACCAAACGTTTACCTGTATAGAGATGCAAATATTAAATTGTAGGCAAGTTGGAGTAGAAAATATTACCAAATATCTTGGTAATTGAATACTGTTTGAAAAGTTGGTACTTGTTCAAACTCAGCCTTATTTTGATTTAAGGGGAATTAACTTGGTCCTGATCAACATAGAGTTCAATACTTTTTGAGTTTCATGCTCTCTACAGAGTTTTCTGAGGACACTTGCACAGAATTTGTGACTTTTTGTTGGAGTGACATGAATTGGCTTTTACTAGATTGAAGAATGTTGTTTATTTAACATATTTTATCTGCCTCTGTTTTAAAAGTGCATCTTGATTACATAAGCCTGGAGGAATAC